ACCTGGAGTGATGTCGGCTAAATGAGCTGTCGGTGAAATAATACGGAATATAGAACGCAAATCCCTTATTAGTGATTTTCACTATATCACTTGCACTATGACTATGAAGTAGCCCAAGATTATATGTTCTTTTTAAAAACTCGATGAATATTCGAATTTTCAAAAATTTTCACCGTTTTCGAAAATCGAAATTTGTAATCAATTGATGTTCGACATTCATCGATTCCTAACCATGTGGATATTATATATTAAGATATTCATGTTTCTGTATAGGACACTTATCGCATTAGTAGCGTCTGTCAAATTCATAGAATTTTTGTGACGTTATCTTCAGCATTTGTGTTGGTAGGAACTTAAGCACTGAAGCTGTGAGCATAAATTTTCTGACTATCAAACATGAAAATTTTTTATGAAGTAGATGGGCTCTATGGCAATAAAATTTTGAACTTAATAAAGTTTGAACTTTATCTATTTTGAAATTTAACTTTATAAGTCTAAAAATAGATTTAGAACTTAAATTCATGAATCTAAGTCAAACTTAAGTTTAAACCTCAGGACTAAACTTGAAGTTCTTAAATTTAGTTTTTTTTTAATTTTTTAAAAACTGATAACATTTTTATCTTCAAATATAGATTGAGATAATATATTATATATATGTTGCAGGTAAATTTTTTAATAAAATTAAATAGCAAAAGTTAGCAATAATAAAACCTATTATAGCAGGTCACATATAGATATTTTTGAAATAATCAGGTTAACTAATGTTTGTAAATAGGTAGCAAAAGGAATAGCCTTCTGTGAAAACTTTATAAAAAATTTATTTTAATTTTAATGCAAATTTCTAATAAATATTAAAAGAAAAAATTCAAAACTACTTAAATTTCATTTTTTACTTAAAACATACAGTATTTTGAAAAAATTTATTTTATGCAAAATATAATTATAAGGCCATGCAAAATTAATGTAGTGGCTAATGCTAAACTTTGCTAATGTTGTTAATACAGTCGACCCTCCATAAGTGCACGTCGTTTGGGAAAATATGCACTTATAGAGGTGTGCACATATGGGTCTAAGTCTGAAATTAATAAATTATTTTATTGTAATAATCACATGATAGTACACTTATGAAGGTAAAACCATTGTAAATGTCATTAATGGAGGGTGCACTTATGGAGGGTCGACTGTAAAAGTCACTAAAATTCAAAATTAATAATATTACTAAAACCTTTACTATCAAAAAATTTTGCTAAAAGCAAAAGTTGACAATATTGGATCTTGACAAATCTTTGGTGATAAATAAATGCCTTATATTTATCTGTTTTACTTAAAGAAAAATATTGCGGTTTGTGTATTCTTTTTCTCTTTTTAGCTGTTATGGTTCAAGTCCTTATTAGTTCACTGAAAAAAAACACGGGCACGTAATAGACTAAAGTTAGAGGCTAGGTGGTATATAGTGAAGTCGCTCAAGGAAAACTTTTCTTTAATACACTAAAGACGGTTTTTTATACAAATTTTCGAAAAAGTAGGCGATATTTTTAAAAACAATCGTTTTACATTACACCAAGTTATGATTAACCATTGGCTAATCATTACGTGTCCATAATTTTTATAATTTTTTTGATAGTTACGATGAGGAGGTTAATCAGGTTTTTTTTACTACAATTTTTGATCTAGGTTTTCACATATTATTTATTATAAAATGCACCTACGGTGGTTTGGCATCTATCATATGTTTTTATGATGTTTTATAGATTTTTCCAAGTTTTGTATATAAATTTTTACCGCAAATTTTTCACGTTAGGGTTAGTATTTAGGGTTAGTATTTAAAGTTAGTATTTAAAGTAGTATTTAAGGTTAGCATTTAAAGTAGTATTTAAGGTTAGTATTAGGGTTAGTATTTAGGGTTAGTATTAGAGTTAGTATTTAGGGTTAGAATTAAGGTTGGGAAAGGTTTTTGGGGCGTAGAACATTTTACTTAGAACACACCGCACCGATTAATTAGTTAGTTTTTTAGATAATTTATTTATAGATGTAAAACACCATAGGTACGTTTTAGTAAAAGTCTTCACATATTTACTAATGAGCAAATGAAAGACTGTGATTTGTAACTTGTTCTTATGAAGCCGGACACTTCTGAGTAGAAAAGTCAAACAGAAATCAGGCAGATTTGATATTAAAATAATTAATACCTTAACTTTTATAGCCCATATCTCGACGAATTTTGAATGATTTAATAGCCAAAAGAAAGCTTAGAACGTAGGCTTTCTTTTGACTATTAAGTCATCAAAATAGCTTCAAAATTTATCCAAATATGAACTGTAAAAGTTAAGGTATTACGTAATTTTTTTTAAACGTCAATCTGCTTTATTGCAGAATGAAATAAAGCAAAGTGAATAAACTATTTAGCTAATTATTTTTGAACTAGTCCAATTTTTATATACAACGTAATAACATTTTGATCTGGATTCAAAAATATACAGTATGTAGTTAGACATAAAAACTTGAATAAAGAATCTAAACCTTTAAGAGTACAACATCTCAAAGTTTCATCATTTGAGTGATGCACAGGGAAACATACACGTAAGTACGTTAAATTTTCACTAAACTCAAAAAAATTTGACAATACTGATTATCAAATTGAGTTTAAATTCGTTTTCCTGTGCATAACTCATTCACCGTTTCACCTAATTCACCAATTTACCGCTCATACTAATTCACCGAAGTTGTTACCACCTCGAGCATAAGTCAAAAAATTTCGCATACACTTTGCAACCTAAACGTGCTTTCAAGTTAGAATTAAGGTTTTGTTATAAGGTTCGGATTCAATGGCCAAATTCCACGTGAAAAACTTTGTTAGTACGCAGGCAGTTTCATACGTAGACGGGAATTTTAAATTGTTATGTTGCGTTGCACATCTAACTGCCCGGAATTCCTAAAGTAGCACTTACCTAAAATTACTTCTTAATGCAAGAAGATCGGAGTTGCATATGCTTTTAGTCATGACATTAACTGTTAACTAAACCTGTTAAGTTTCAGCCAATTACCGATTATAGTTATTTGATCGATGGACTTTATTTTGTGGCACATTAATACACATTTAAATCGTTCTCATTTTTACTAGTCATACGGTTACTTGTTTTTGAGGGAAATATTTAAACTTCTGCGAAGTTTTGAGTTTCCCTGCAACCAACAAATTTCATCACTTAAAAAACTTTCTTTTTAATTATACGACTCTACTGAATTTGATGAATATGATGAATATGATGAAATTTACTTCTTTAACACTTGTTTTCTTAATTACTTGCTTATTTGGTAGGTTTATTAGTGGGTTGATTTAAATTCGTGCTCAAAAATATTGCATCACATGAGTAAATGCTATAAAATATACAATGTTATGCTGCATGAAAGCATATTTAAATAGCATTTATTCATGTGTTATGCAATATTTTTGCATTATTTAATGATTAAATTAAACCATATAATAAATGTCGGACGTTATAATAACCAATTGAAAATTGTATGATTGCAAAAATGTAGTTTTATCATATGCTATACCGGTAAAGGACATTTCGTCTACCTCAGTTGGCATATCAAAAATACATACCTTCCCTTCAACAGAAAGTTTTGCGGTTGCTGTTCAACATGTCGATAATCTTGTGAATGATTTTGGTGACGTGCTCGCGGAGAAAGTTTCTGCTGTTGTTATAAACTTTGAATTACGTGACGAACAATTGTTTGTGAACAATGTGCCTGTCCCATTAGGGATTAATTCCATCCAAGTATGCATTAATTAATTTAATAAACATTTAAATTCATCATTTTAAATTTCATCATCATTGGTGTAGGTAATTGAAGCAAAAGTTATTCCGGAAACTCAAGATATTTTTAAATACGAAAACAACTTTAATAGTGGCCTCATTACTGTCGAAGTTAGCACTGTTACTGAGTCTTTATATACCGAGGAGAAGGGTGGATCCCTTCGTCGTCTCAAAATTTCCATCCGCATAGTCGAAATTGATGGAACAAAAGTTAATCAAGTTGATGACATCAGAAAAGCTTTCGAATTCAGAAGTTTAGAAACTGCTAACGACAGTCAAGATTCAGAAATTGCTACTATCTATCTCAAAAGTCATTCTTGTTCTATGATTTCTCATTTCCGTCATTGGTGGCACTCTTCTCCTTGGCTTACCCAGACTGCTCTTGTTGCCTTATTCTTTATCTTCTTTTGTATTTTATTTATGGCTATCCGTGAAGGTATAGAAGATATTATTGCATTATTTCCCTCTCAAAATCCTTACCGAATTGTTTGTCAATACGATGATGATGACGATGACTATGATGGCCGAATAGAAAAAGCTATTTTTACAGCCGACGAAGAAAAACATGCATTGCTGAAACAAGAAACAGAGAACAATTAGATGAATTACGTATATGACTTATGAATTTTAATCGTTTTATATACAATACACATTATAATATATAATCTGTTGAATATTTTTTCAATATGAGAATGAATACTCCATTCTTATATATAATCTTGTATAATATACATATGTAAATCGTTTCTTGATCAATCAGTGTTGTACATTTTGGTATACAAACCTTTTTTGACATAACACTTTACCCAAACTTAATAATTAATAAATTTTTAGTAATCAATGTTAAAAAAATTCTGACCGGATTTTTTTTTTAACAGGATACGTATGAGTATCCTGTTTATAAAAGTTTAATTAACAGGATACGTATAAGTGTCCTGTTAATAAAAGTTTAATTTAAATTAATAAATTAAACTGAACCCCGCATAAGCATAGCAGAAGTTCGTTTTGATTGGCTAAAATTTGAATAAATATGATTGGCGACGATCTTTTATTTATGTTATCACTTTGGAATTCCTGTTAATCTCGAATTGGCATAAGTCACTTTGGAATCATAATTTGACATATATCAGTCAGGGATTTTTCCATATTTGGACAGCATCGATCTTACCTTTTATAGTATAAGACCGCTGATCAGATAATTCTA